CAGGGTGGAGGGGGGGTGCAGGGTGGACGGGAGGAGTCGTCTATGCCAGTGGAGCCGTCTGTGAGGGGGAGCCATGATCCATCTTTGCTTCAGCAGGCCAGGGGAAGGGCATTTTACATGAGTTGGGTAGGCAGCAAGGGGCGTATATGTCGGAGGGGCATCATGATGCGCAAGGTGCGGCTGCGGCAGTTGTGGGGAAGAGGAAGGAGAGAAAGGAAGGTGCGGGACAAGGGTCACAAAAGAGGATGAGGCAGAACATCATCAAGGAGTCCTTGCAGTGGCAGATGGAGTTTAGGAAGAAGACCTTTCAATTCGCCTACAGCCAACGGCTCACCTTCAACGTCTTCCACAGCGAGCTGTGGAAGGACCTTGCCCGCCGTTCGAGGGAATTGTTCGGGCCCACGAAGGTGTTGTGGACTTCACACAATGAGATCGCAGCCATGGACACGGTGATCCGCTCAGCAGATGATGTTGCGGCTGATCTGAAGGAAGTGAGGGCACCTTTCTACATCGCCGGCACCACCATACTGTTAGACGGTAGGAAGTCCCACAATGCTAGATCCATCGTGAACTTCCTTGCCGCGGGGAAGCGAGGCGTCATGCTGATCAGGATGATGAGCAAGGAGGGGGAGAGAGATTGGGCGACAGACGTGGTTGTGTATATTCCACGACTTTCCCCCTAAGTGAGTGAATGTGATCTACACAGACTCTGCCTCGACATACATCACCGCGGCCAACCTGCTGGCAGCGCCGGAGAGGAGGTCATTTCCCCTGGCTCCCATGCTCCATACATGTTTGCAAGGAGTTGTTTTGAGACATCAGCACGGCAAGCACCTAAACCAAAGACGCTATAGTACGCGGTAGAGCGGTCGTGCGCTTCATGAAAGAGCACGGCGTGCACGCGATGATGGAGTGCCTTCAAGCGGTCAGGTAAGCTTTGGAGAGGGCGGTCAACATCGATGATGGGGTGTCGTCCCTTGGCACGACACTGTTCGTCAACTGGCTTAGTGGGTGAGGTGGCACTCCATGGAGATCCTCATTCACATCATGGAGCTTGTGTACAACATGCTACGCAAGTTGGATTGGGGAGGCCTGCACACGTTACAGGTCGTGGAGTGGACCCAGGACATTGTTCGTGATGTGGTACTCGACATTCGTGTTCTTCCAGAGAAGGATGCAAAGTGGATCAGCCAGAAGGTGCAAGAGTCGTGGCACATACGTTGGAGTGAGCACACGCCCCTGCTTACCTTTGTGCCCGGGCAGGAGGGATTTCAAGTACTACAGTGGCATGGTGCAATGGATCCTTACCATGCGAGGCTCATGAGGGACACATAGACTTAATATCTTATCACACATAGGATACGATCTCATGAGCTGTAACTATGAGGTCGCATGTGCCCGGATGTGGGACTTCAATGTGCACATTGGGGCAATTATTTGGGGTGGAAGGGATGGGGAGAGGGAGGCACAAAGGTGCGTCAGCAACGTAGCGACCTCTGAGGTGATTGTCGAAGTGGGGAAAGTATGCCCCTCAGCTGCAGGTTATCGCTCTTCGTGGCATGTACATGTACACATGCTTCTGTTCTCCGGAGAGGAATTGGGACGTACGAGATCACACGAGTAAGCGAGATTATACCTGAGTGTTCCGTGCCTCCAGAACCCCACCTGGGCTCCCGCAGAGCTCCCACAATCGGTGGGCTGACCTCCCACAAGGTCTTGCTGTGGTCCTACGCCTGCCGCCTTCCTCTCATAACCTCAGACTAGACTTAGAGTAAGAAGGACAGAAGGGGGGGTTTCAGACGCTCCAGATACAAGAATGGGACAGACTCAACTCTCAGGAGAGGGACTTGTTGCCTTCAATCGCTTGAGGGTCCCGCAATGGCAGCCAATTAACGCAGCGAAGTCGGTCAATGTACGACCGGAATGCAACGTACCATCTCCCGGGCGAACCTCCAAAGCGCAGCAATAACTGGTGTATAGAACCTGGCCACTCCTTCAAATCGTTGTATCATTATCTTAAACCAAACTGCTAGTACACGGTCCACAAGGCCTGTGGTTCAATTGAGCACGCCCTTGTACTCAATCTGAAAGTAATGCAAACCTCCTTAAACTAAGTCAGCCTGTCTATACAGCAATCATTTGTAGTAGCAGTTCGTATTAGATGCACCGCGGTTAAATAACGAAGGAAAAAGGTAACACAACGGGACCCAACGTGCGTGCACATCAAGTTCACAGCATCCCCAACAGTCGCATGGAACAATTAGACACTGTACTAATGCGTATGGCAAAAAGCATAGGCCACCTTTCCGCACAGCAAGTGCAGCAATGGTGTTTGCGCAACAACTCAACAAGGTGCAGCCAATGCGGAGTGCAAACGATCAAAACACAGTCAGAATGCAGAGTAACACCCCCGTGACGGGCAACCTTCCCCCAAGTCGCATCAACAATGAACTTCCCACGAGCGTCTTTATCCCAGGCAACAGCCACCGGGTACAGAGCCAGTAACAAGTATCTTGAAAGCCTTAGCAATGGCAACTCAGAATAAACCGCAACATCTTTTGGAAGAGTAATTTGTTGCTGCCGAACACAACAACACTCCAAGCTAATGGATGGATGAGGAAAAGCGGACAGCCGTGACAAAGAAAGGAAAAGGAAGAAGGAACTTGAAAGAGAATAAATATGAGGAAGGGATTATGTGTTGACCTCAAATGGGCGTTGTGCTTGTTCCTATACTGTGTTGATGTGAAAGTGACTAACTCGTTGAAGTGCTTTGTGCACGATGGCGCCCGGTGAGGCTGGGTGGTGAGAGGGGAAGAAGTGAGAATGGGTTGTGAATGTAACCCTCGCCCATGGATAAGCATTTCTTGTGCGTTGTTCCCCTTTGGATGAAAGAAGGTACAAAAAGGTTGGATGTCGGCAAGAATATTGGATGAATGAAAGGACAACATAGTCCTATGAGGGTGTGGGTGGGGCCCCGAAAAGAATAAGGAGTGTATAGACAAACAATGGAACGAGGTATGTCAACTGCCATTTCGTCAAAATGGACATCCCTTTTTTTTTGAACAAAATTGAAACCGAGTTTTTTGACCGAAAACTCGTCAAAATTTGTTGTTCCTGAGGGTCCGGCGTTTGTAAAACGCTGGACCCCCTGGCTGTACATGGACCTAGCTTGAGACCAAGTACCTCCAGGCAGTACTGCTTGGAGTTACTTGGTCTCAAACTAGGTCCATGTACAACCAAGGGGTCCAGCGTTTTACAAACGCCGGACCCTTAGGAACAACAAATTTTGACGAGTTTTCGCCCAAAAAACTCAGTTTCAATTGCGTTCAAAAATAAAAAATGTCCATTTTGACGAAATGGTCGTTTGTCAAAGAATGACGAGTGCAAAGTTCATAGGATGAGAGCACTTAGATTGGCAAGAGGTTGGGAACAACGGGCCGCCCTAGTAATGCCATGAAGAGTCGCATGGATTAGTCGGCGGCCCTAAGCTGAGGGGCGAGTGCTCTACCCCCCGAGTGCCACTAAACTCTTTACCTAGGTAATGGATGTATGGCCTAAGGAGGACGCTTGGCGTGTGCACAAAGGAAAAAGAACTCTCAACGAACTCCCTAGAACGTTTGTGCATTGGAAGGACCAATTGCCTTCTAACACAATGAGGAATCTAGAACGAATGCTTGCCTAGATCAGCGAGACGACCTACCTAGCGAGAGAGTTGAGCTAGATCCCCCAATGTCAAAGCCCTCTTGCTTGACTACCCACCCCCATCCACCTCAAAGCACCAGGTGGGGGTGAACCTGTGACAAAAGGCCGTGCGCTTGGCAAGTACTTGGGCGGGGTTGAGCCAAATGGGAACCCGTGGAAGGGTCGACTAGGCTCGGAAGTCTAACAGCGTGGGGCGCTAAACCGTGTTGTCGAAATATGCAACGGCCTGGTATCGAAGTTATCCCGAACCAAGTTTCCCTGTGGCCCAATTTATATTATCAATTTCCTGAGGAGCACGTTGTGCAGAGTTGGCAAACAATAAATCCCTCGGCCGCCTTCTGGGTGTTTGGTAATCTCGAACTCTGCATCTCTCACTTATTATTTTCTCACATCCAATACTTTTCCCGACATTTCTAAAACCCACTACATGGCCTGACACTCGACGTGATTCTACTCCACTATTTAGTTTGACGGACAAATGCAAATCGCACTCACCCCATCAGTCAACCATCGGCGGTCACATGATTCTATGATTTCTTTATTGAGCGAATAATTCACCAAATGCCGCCAAAATTATGAAAGGTCACTTATCCATTTTCGCATCTCACCATAGCCTCGACGAAGTCCAGATACCCCGCGTTTCCATCTTACAATAATTAATCTCATTTCTCAGTTCAAATTACGAACCTCCATATGGTCAGGAACACTCACATAGGCTTGAGTCGCCTGGTAGTGCTATGGTTACCCCGAGACACGATCTCACATGGGAGCGGACCCAGATCGCCAAATTCGTTGAACCCTCCACCACCATGCACAGACATCCCCTCATGGCTAGGCGTCACCGCTTGTGCCCCCCTCCACGACCATCCAACTAATGGCCTCCTCTCTGTCATGCCCCTTTGCCTCTGTGCCCCCACAACCACCATCCAAGTGAGTGGGATCCTCTCTGTCTCTCTGTCCGCCCTCGCCCGGTAAGTGCAACAGCTCCAACCTCTGCCTGGTCCCCTCACCAACCTGTGCAACAGGGTACCTGACTAGGGTTCAACGAATTTGGCGATCTAGGTCCTCTCCCAGGTGAGAGTGTGTCTCGGGGTGACCATAGCACTGTCGGGCGACTCAAGTCTATGTGAGTGTTCTTGCCCATATGGAGGTTCGTAATCTCTCGCGCAGCGGGGCTCCCATAAGAGCCCCAAAAATCCTCCTTTCGCCAACCTCGAAAAGGTCAGCCCCCCCACTCTGTCTATGGACGTTCTCAGGGTTGGTCCAATCACTCTCCTCCTGTTTATCGGGCTGGATACCAAACGGTCCCGCACGGTGTCTCTCCTCAGCCTGACCCTCAAAAAAGTCGTTGTTGTCATCTCGAGGGTATGGCCTCAACATCTCCGCCAGAGTACAGAAAATGTTTGCAACGCCACCGGGAGGTGGCTTGGACCCGCATGGGTCTCTCCGCCACGAACGTGCCTGCCGCTCATGCTCCTCCTGTCCCATCCCCTCATCCGTCTGCTCCCACGACGCCTGCATCCATATGCCCCCCTCAACGTCAAGCAGGGACTCGTTCGCTGTCCACGGTAGAGCAAAACCACAGCCAACCTGCGGTGTGCAGGAAGGCACACATTGGCTGAGATCTCAAGCAACTTGGTGACCTTTTAAAACTCAAGCCTATTTCGCTCCTTTATGTGCACACCCTTGTGGACGTCCCAATTCCTCTCCGGAGAACAAAAGCATGTCTACATGTACATCCCACAAAGGGCGCAGACTTATGCACGTCCTGTGCAACTCCTGACGGAAGGGGGGGGTGGGGCTACCAGGCCTGTCTCGCTCAGCGGGGCTCCCATAAGGGCCCCAAAAATCCTCCTCTCGCCAACCTCGCAAAGGTCAGTCCCCCCACTCTGTCTATGGACGTCCTCAGGGTTGGTCCAGTCACTCTCCTCCTGTTCATCGGGCTGGATACCAGACGGTCCCGCTGTCGCACTTTTTTCCAGTCAGACCGCTTCAGGCGACCGGAAAGCCAACAGGCTATCACGCAGGATTTTGGATGTGATTGCAATAAATAAAATAAATTAAATAAAGCAAATCCCTTCCTGTTGTGTGCGCCCGGCTTCAAGCGAAACCCTTCAATTGCGGTCTTCGCCGGACCCCGATCTTAGGAATCTTTAATTGTGATTCGGAACAGCAATGATAATGCAGATAATAAAAATTAAATTAAACATGCCATGTGTGTATCAAGATGTCAATTTAGGGGATTGAGAACTGTGACATGATCAGCAAGGAAATACAATCATCAAGTAATGTCAGAAGAGATAATSAAGACTGACTGACTCAAGGCAAAGACAAGATGAATGAGGGAAAAGTGAGAGCTCGTATCATCTCAAGAGTATAATGACAAGGACATGGTCAGTGCTCAGTGTTTGTGCCCTCACTCTCCCCTCTCACTTTCAACCTCAATCTCGATCTCTTAGAGCATCTGACACCACGTCCAAGTACATCTTGAGAAGATCTGCTGCGGTATGTATCTGGTGATTGTACTCAAGTCTTGAGTATGCTCTTTTCCATATGTTTGTCGTGCCCAATAAACTCTTGCCTTGAGTCTGCTATACTCGGATGCTCGCTGATTTTAAAGTTGCTCACTTATCACCTAATCAGTCTTGTTGTGCACTGACGTCACCGAGAACACTTGCTGCGACATAACTGTTGCTTCTGTCACTAGGAAAACCCGCTATGACCAACATTATTGCTGCTGTCTCCGGGATTGCCTGCAGTGACCAGCATCGTTGCTGCTACCACCGGGACCTCCCGCTATGGCCAGCATTATCGCTGCTGTCACCGGAACTGCCCGCTATGACCAGCATCGTCGCTGCTACCACTGGGACCTCCCGTTGTGGCCAGCACCGCCGCTACTGTCACCGGAACTGCCCGCTGTGACCAGCGTTATGTCCCCTGAGAATAAGACCTGCTGAGAGTGAATTAAGATCATCGATAAATTTTCACTTGATCTGAACTCACTGAGACTGAGAATTGAACTAACTGACACTGATCTGATCTCTTTGAATCTGAAAAGAATTCATTGAAGCTGATCTGATCTCTTTGAATCTGAAATGAATTAACTAAAGCTGAATTGAACTCAAAGAGATGAAACTGAAAATGATCTCACTGAACTTACCGGAACTGAGTTGAACTTGAAGAGATGAGACTGATCTCTTTGAACTTACTGAAAATTGAACTGAACCTGAAGAGATGAAATTGATCTCACTGAACTTACTGGAACTGTAAAAAAAAAAAAAGGTCTGCTATGTTCAGAATGAGTCGGCTGAGTTCAGAAAGAGTCTGCGGAGAAATTGAGTCTACTGGAAAATTGAGCTTGTCACAAAGTGCATAACTGAGTATGTCGCTGAATCTGAGATTGAGTTTATTACTGAGTATGTTGTTGGATCTGATGTCGAGTCCACTGCGGAGTATGCTGAATCTGCACTGAGCTTACTGAGTCTGTACTGAGCTTACTGGATCTGCATTGAGCTTGTTGAGTCTGTACTGAGCTTGTTAAGTCTGCACTGAGCTCACCGAGCTCACTGAGTCTGTACTGAGCTTGTTGAGTCTGCACTGCTCTCACTGAGTCTGCACTGAACTTGTCGAATTTGTACTTTGTTGAGTCTGCACTGAGCTCACTGAGTCTGCATGAGCTCACTGAGTCTGTACTGAGCTTACTGAGTCTTCACTAAGCACACTGAGTCTGTACTGAGCTTGCTGAGTCTGCACTGAGCACACTGAGTCTGTACTGAGCTTGCTGAGTCTGCACTGAGCACATTGAGTCTGTACTGAGCTTGTTGAGTCTGTACTGAGCTTGCTGAGTCTGCACTGAGCTCACTGAGTCTGTACTGAGCTTACTGAATCTGCAGTTCAAAGTCTGCTAAATCTGCTAATCTTCTGCAGAGTCTGGCGAGTCCGGATTAAGTCTGTTGGGTTTGAAACTGGGTCTGTTGAGTCTGCAGAGTCTATCTCTGCTACCTGTTGCGTTCGTTTCCCCTGCTCGAATACAGCATAGTGTTGCAGTAGCATGTGGCAGCGAACCAAAACCGTATACCCAAGAAAATCGTACGCGCACATTAATTTTTCATTATGTTCGATTTTCGTCAGAAGAAAGATCGGAACGGTGAGATCGTCCGTTTCAAAGTCCCCAAGATCCCAGTGAAGTCCGATCTTTGATCCGAGCAACGTTTTAAGAATGATAATTATTAACTCATCTTTATGTTCAAATCCCGTACGGAAGTCGCCCTTATTTTGAAACTTGCTCAGACCGAGTCAAAACCTGCTGGAAATGTATCTTTGCATTCTCCACATTGTAACCGACGAACTGCTGTTTGCAGAGCATTTCTGTATCTTGCTGTTTTCGTATCCTACTGATGTCTATTGTCTCTACGATTGTTGTCTCATGTTCTTCATATGTGCCCGACCAAATAGCATGCGGGTGCAGCTCTACATAGCCCCTGCTCAAACAGAACATAGGGGTGTATCACTACTGTCCATTCCCGTTCATACAAAACACAGGGTTGAAGTGTTGCTTTGTCCCTGTTCGAATAAAACACAAGGGTGTGTCGCTGCCCACTCCATGTTCAAACAAAACACTGGGTTGTAGTGTTGCTTTGTCCCTGCTCATGCCTGGATTGCTATCAGTACTAGATCCACTCAAAACTGCACCCCTGTTCGAACAAGAACACAGGGTGCCGCCTAGTGTGGCCCCAATTCATATACAACACAGGGGTGGAGTCTGCATACTCCCTGTTCGAATATAGGACAAGGGTGCAATCTGCTCACTCCCTGTTCAAATACAGCACAGGGGTGCAGCAAGCATGTGGTAGTAAACCAGAAACCGCAAACCCGAGAAGTTTGCTGGCACGCTATAATTTTTCATTATGTCTAAATATTGGCCGAGCGAAAATCTGAGCGGTCAAAGTGTGCATTTCCATGTCCCCATTGACCATGTAGAGTCCGATCTTCGATGCGCAGCCAGAATTGTGAAATATATTTGTAAATTAGTCCTTGCCTCAAAATGTCATGCGAAAATCAATATATTTTTTATTTTACAACTTGCATCCAGAGGAAATTCTTACTGATGGCCCAGTTTTCAACTTCCCAACTTTTCTCTCTCCCTCTTGTTTTCGTTTGCTCTGAATCACGAGACAGTGAGCAAACCAGAGTTTGCTGCCATTTAGTCTACAGGTAAATGGCAACCATAGCCTTAAGGAAGAAGTCTGACCAATCAGCGTGCACGCAAGAGGTGGTGTCCACTGATATGATGCACAACTGCTTCTGCCCTGCATTGATTCTTCGGGACAAGATGACAAATGCCATAGCTGTCCTGCTCAACATTATTAAATCTAAAACCGATTGCTCTGTCTACGCAGTAGCAGAGAGAGTTGCTAATCCAAACCCACTTTGGTGAGGAGGGATTGAAGTTCCCAGACTCAAGAGTATGTTCCTTCCCTGCATACCCCTCCACAGGGCACACATGTGTTACCAAGCTTTAGCTGCTCAGTGGCAAAGGCATGAAGCCCAACGATTGCCCGCTTGACCATATGCTGAGCTTAATACGGAGAGGGTCAATGCAGTAGGCTGGCAATTCCATAAGAGCAAACAAGGAAACAGTTTGCAACATAGCTACCGGCTTCCTACAAGGGGTCCCTGCTGTTGACATGTGTCCGACCATGTTCACTCACAGTTTCATGGATTTGCCCACGCTGCCAGCTTTCCAATCACCATGCGACCAGTCTACTTGTTTGAGCGTTCCTCTATGTTTAGTGAGAGGACACGTGGTATTTTCAACAGAAAGTCACTGTCATGATGGTAAAAAACGGGGCGAGTGAGCTCAGACAAAAGTGAGAACACCCCTCAGGTTTAGACAATAAGTTTAATGAATCTATAGCAAGAACGTGGGAAGATACATTCCATATGTTGTCCTCTTCCCCCCCCCAGACGTGGCCAGATCCGCCCTCTAAAATGAGGATGAACTTCCTACTTGAACATGGCCAGATGCACTCTCCACGCAAGGGTGTAGATGAGAATGAATTTCCCACTAGTACACGGTCAGATGCTGCTGCCCATTTGAAGTGAACACGGCCAGAACATGGGAAGATGCATAACCATATTCCAAGCCTTACGTGCCTTGTGATGCAATCACCCGCCAATGAAGAGGCTAGAATGAATCTGCAGCTAGATCGTGGAACTGTCTGCGGATTTGTCAGGTTGCTCACCAAATGACGAAATGTGAATGGACCTGCAGCAAGAAGGTGGAAAGATACATCACCAGATCCTTGCCCTCTGTGCAGAAAATGAAAATTCTCCCTGTCGCGGTTTTGCTCAATCACTCACTTTTTGGGCCATACTGTTCTACTCACCCTTCCTCACTCTCTCTCTCTCTTTGTCTGTGTCTTGCCCATTTTCGTTTCCCCCAAATAGAACACACTGTTATCAAAGCCTATTTGAGGCAGCTTTCAGTCCAACAACCATGTGTTGTATTCGAGGGAACCTACCTCTTGCTCACTGACACTCACACAGTAAGGGGTATTCTCACAGGCACGCTGCCTTCTGGCACTCTC